CTTGCATGGCAAGGCCGATGGACGTGGATGACATGGGTCAGACCCAGTGACACCCCGGGGGTTTTGTAAGGAGATGGGGGAGCCCTGGCTTGTAGCTTCAAAAAAAAATTTTTTTGACGGGCCACACCAGGCACTGTTCAGAGGCTACTCCTGGTTCTGTGCTCAGGGATCACTTCGGGCAGGCTCAGGGGACCATATGGGTTGCCAGGGATTGAACCCGGGTCAGTGGCGTGCCAGGCAAACGCCCAACCCCCTGTACCATCACTCTGACTCCGCAGCTCCTGTGCAGAGCCGGTGCCCCGAGCCATGGCCTGGAGGAGCCCCTAGGCCCGAGCTTTTGGCTGACGGTACCAGCCCATGGGTGGGTGAAGGGGGCTGGGAGGTGTCTGGGGGCTCTTGGCTGGTAGATGGTCAGCTGCTCCTGAGAACAGTTTGGGGGAGACAGGGGGCTATTAACTAGCCCATATCTGCGGGCCTGGTGCTGTGAGTGTCTGTGAGAATCTGTGCTGAGGGTGAAGGCCCCCCCCGTCACCGCCCCACATCAGGGACCCCCAGATGCCGGCAAGATCCCCCTGAAGCCACAGCCTAGGGCTCAGGGGTGCCAGAGAAAGGAGTCGCCCAGACAGATGTCCGGGACGTCGGGGACAGCTCACCCCTGACCTGGGGAGGGAGTTCTGGCCCGCATGGGCAGGCAGGGGGCCCCAGACCCCAACCCCACCCCGGGGGGTTCCTCTCTGCAGACCTTTGCACTCAGCGCCATGTAAGGGGCAGAGAGAGGGAGAGAGGGCGGGAGAGGGGCGGGAGAGAGAGGGAGAGAGGGAGAGGGGGTGGGGACGAGCGGGAGCGGGAGGGGGAGAGAGGGAGAGGCTTTTGTGCCGTCACGGGCTGGGAGTTGTAAAAGTGGCCGTGTCTCATCGGCGGGGCGCGGGCAGCCGCCTCCCGTCAGTGACAGGTGGCGGGGAGCATGCGTGCTGAGCCCGCGCGAGCCTCGGGGGCTGCGGCAACAGAGCGGCATCTTCGGCCTCCTCCTCCTCCTCCTCCTCCTTCTCCTCTTCCTCCTCCTCTTCCTCCTCGGGAGGCGTGGGCTTTCCAGCACATTCTGAGTCACACCTCTTGGGGCCGGGGCGCATTCCCAGTGACAGCTCGCCCCCCGCGGATGGGCCTAGGGCTCTGCTTTCCCTGGGCCCGAGGAGGGCGGGCGTGCAGCTGCCGGGGAGCGGTTACTGGCGCGATGGCGGATGTCACCCAGGTAACGCCTCCCCCCTCCCCCCCTGCCCGGCGGAGGGCGCGGATAGAGATGGAGTGACTGGCTGCTCGGCTTGGGCGGGCAGAGACGTGGCCAGGTCCCGCGGGCTCTGTGCTTGGGGAGTGCTGGGGGCTTAGTCACCGGGCCGGCGCCCTCCTGGGTCCCGCGGCTCCGTCGCTGATAGGGCCGGGCTGCAGGCAGGAGCAGGCGCGCGGCTCGGGGCTCAGTCTCCACCAACCCCTCCCAGCAGCCGCTCACTCGCTCACTCGTGCGTCCCACATCACGACGAGGAAGTGGTGAGACGTTGGCTGGGAAGCGCCCGGGCGCCTGGCTCACCGTGAAGCCCCCTGGTGGCCCCGCGCAGGGCTTGGCAGGGGGTGGGTCATTTCTGATGGGCAGGTGGACGGGCAGGCGCCGGACAGACTGGGCGGAGGATGGCCGACTGGCTGGCTGGCTGGCTGGTGGGTGCAGGGGTGCGGAGCCGGCAAAGCCGAGTTTCCAGTGTGGACTCGGGTTAGCCTTGACTGGTGGGCTCAGGGTTGGAACCCAGGGGCCTCCTACATGCTCTGCACCCCCAAGCTCAGCCCCCAGCCACGGTGGGGGCTCTTGGCCCTTTTTCCCTCTTGCTGATGCTAAAGCATCCTGGTCCCACGCGCCCCCCAAAGGGGCCTCCGGCCAGTGTCAGATTCGGACCTGTGGTCACTGGCACTGAGAGCGCCTCGCGCCCCGCGCTTCTGAGTGATGCCTTTGGTTCCTTTGTGGCTTGGCTCCTCTGCACCCCCGCCCCCACCGTGGCCCCTGGTGATGGTTCGGGGCTCCCTTGGTCTCCTGTGACCGAGTCTGGAGCACTGGGCCTCGTCGACAGAAGCTCAGACTGTCTGTGGGGTTCAGCAGGCCGTGGCCTACGCCAGCGCTGCCCAGGCTGCCCCCGAGCCGTGTGTGTCCAGGGGGCCTCAGGGTGTTGCCCTTCAGGCCGCTTGAGGAGCCCATGGCCTGTGCAGCCTGCACGGAGGTTGGTGTGGTCTCCCCAGAGTGGACTTTCGGGAAGGGAATGGACGGCTGTCCTGGTGACTCACTGCCCGGGCTCTGAGGGTCGCCCCTCTGTCCTGCTCCCACACGGGCCCTGCCCCCAGGGGTCTCACCTCCCCCTCAGGCCACTGTCTTGTCTAGGACCATTCTTGACTTGCAGGCCTGCGGGGGTTGGGGGGGCACACCCGCTTTGTCACCTACTGTCCATCTGTCTGTTTTCCTTCAAAACTCTGAGACGGGCAGGACCGCGCTTGGCAGGACCTCCCTGGCCCCCGCGCCCAGACAGGCAGGCGGGGCTGCAGGAAGACACCCCCTCCCGGTGACGAAGGGCCAGATCTAGGGGCCACCCCGCCCCAGCCCTCCTGGAGGCCATCGAGTTCCTGGGTCAATCCTGTTGGCTTGTCACCCGAAGCGAGTGTCCGCCCTCAGTCCGGCGGCCTGCCCCGCTGCGCCGCCCCCTCGCTACTCACTGCTCCCGGCACCTTCCCGCCTGGTCCCCAACTCCAAGAGCCTCATGGTCGGGAAGAGGGGGGCCCTTCTTCCTGGCTGTGCGACCACTTCCCCTCCCTGTGCTGAGGCAGGACCCTTGGAGCCCTCTGCTCCGCCAGCTGGGCCCTCTCCAAGAGCTGCTTCCTGAGAACGCTGGACTTGAGCTGCCAGTGGGGGTGTCGGGGTGCAGACACCAGGCGGAAGGGGGGCCCTGCGTCAGCATAGCTCGCTCGCTCGCTCCTGGGGGCCCGCTCTGCCAAGTGGCCTGTGCCCCCTTCAGCCTCTCGCCCCCGAGCTGACCTGTCCTTGGGCTCTGGCGCGTGTGTCCCTCCCTGGACCACCCCTCCCACCCACCCCCCGCCTTCAAGACTCCTGCATCTCCCCACACCAGCTCCCAGGGACACCCCAGGACTGGGTGATGCTGCTGCCAGCATCAGCTCAGAGTATGGCGCCGACTACAAGCTTGTTGACTCCCAGTCTTGTCCAGCTCCCAGGATGCAGCTGGGGAGGCCACCACTGACCGCTGTCCAGCTGGGAACGGGAACGTGCTTGAGCCAGGCCCATGTCCTGGCAGGAGCGGACCCCTTCTAACGTGGGGGCCATGGGTGGCGGCTCGGCTGGGCCGGAGGCGGGGTCTGGTTCAGCCGGTGAGCACCGGTCCCTGCCTCAGTTCCCTACAGTGCGGTGGGGGGGGGGGGGTGCGCAGGGCACCCTCAGTGGTCCCCCTGCGCTGGCTGTGCCTCCCTGCTCCTGTTCCTGTGTCCGACTCTCACATTGAGCACTCGAGATGAGCGAAGCCCTTGCTCTTCCTGGTGGAAAGTTCTGGCAGCTCACAGAGGCGAACCCCTCCCCCACAGTTCAGTGCGGCCCTGCCAGCACTGTGGGAGCCCCAGCTCCGGGCTCCTTGCACTGCCTTTGGGGTTCGGGATGAAGGCAAGTGTCAGGTGAAAGTGTGTGGGGCGTGGGGGAGCGCTGGCCTTGCACGCAGTCGACCCTGGTTTGATTCCCGGTACCACACACTGTCTCCTGAGCCCCGCCAGGAGTGACTCCTGAGCACAGAGCCAGGAGTAAGCCCCAGGCATCTCCAGATGCGGCCCATGAAGCAAACCAAAGTGGAGACGAATGTCCAGGCACCGTGTTGGTTCTGGTGCTCAGAGCCCGGCGGCGTCGGGCCTGGGGATGGGCTGAGTTCACGGCAGGGCACTTGGTGACTCAGCGGACACACCCTGGGCCTTGCCGGCCCCCCGGAGCCTTGGGTGGGGTTAACTCTCAGCCTCCTGATAACAGCGGGCCTTGAGCCCGGCCCCGTGGGGCCTTCTGCACCCCGAAGCTGGGCTCTCCCGAATTCTTGATGCCTGGCGGGGGCCCGGGCAGAGCCAGGAGGTAGAGTGAGGGGAGCGGAACTGGGGCGTTGGGGGCTTGTGAGGGGAGACACCCAAGGCAGGAGCCGTCGGAGTGGGGGGGGCAAATGCGGGACCCCAGGAGACCCCGGTGGGGCGGCGAGGTCGGGGTCTGCGCCTCGCGCCCCTTTTCCTAAAGAGAAACTCCAGGTGTCTAAGTTTTGCAGTGAGGGGCCCCGTTCTGGGGCTGACTGACAGAAGGGGAAACCGAGGCTCAGGGGCGGCGGCTGCCCATCTGCACCCCTTACCCCATGCCCTCGGCACCCCCGTGAGCCCTGTTCCCGCCTCACTGCTGTACCCCGCTGCACCCCACTTTGGTGCTCCCCACGGCACCGAGTTGGGAGGTGCCAGCTGGAAGCGTCCCCGGCTCCACCCCAGCCCTTCCTTCTGACCTCGGCTCTGAGACTGACATGGCACCCCAGCTGGCTGCTGGCATGGTGACCCTAAACTTAGGTTTTCCCCCAGGAGCGGAGTGGTTAATGGAGGCGCGGGTGCGGGCCAGGAGCCTCCCAGGCCAGCCCACTGCAGTGGGTCGGGCGTGGGGGGGCGCTTGGCGGGACCTCGGCCTTCTGAGGGTTTCTGTTTCCATGACGTCAGAGGGGCGGAACCAGGGCTGCCTCAAAGGCAGGAGCAGCCCCGCACACTCACCCCTGCTCCCAAGCTCTCGCTCGGCTCCCCGTGCCTGCCCCCGGGTGAGCGCGCTCTGCCTGGCCGCCTAGGCTTGCCTGAGACACGGCCACCCCCTCCCCTGTTCCTCTGACCCTCTCCCAGTCTCCACCTCAGTCACGGCACTCACATCTTCCTCTCTTTCTCTCTCTCTCTCTTTCTCTCCCCAGAAAAAGATTTACAAGTACAAGAAGGTCCTGAGCAACCCCAGCCGCTGGGAGGTGGTCCTGAAGGAGATCCGCACTCTGGTGGACATGGCGCTGACCTCGCCGCTGCAGGATGACTCCATCAACCAGGCGCCCCTGGAGATCGTCTCCAAACTGCTCTCGGAGGTCAGCCGCTTGCACCCGCCTCAGCATCCTCACGCCCTCGGTCCTGCCGGGACCCCCGGCCCCAGCTGTCCTGGGGGCGTTGGGAGGGGGTTCGGCTCCCTGGCTTCCTGCCGGGCTCCAGACCAGTGTGGGATGGACACAGAGGGGCCGTTCTTGAGCCTGGGCTGGACAGTGGCCGCAGCAGAGGTCAGAGACCCCTAGATCTTTCCTAGTGGGGGTTTCCGGGCTGTTGGCGTGTGCTTAGCTGACAGGACTGTCTGCCTCGGACCCCTCCACAGCTCACAGCCCACTGCCAGGCAGCGAAACCTGGAGAACTGAGGGACTGGGGGGGCTGCGATCCCCCACTGGGGTACAAAACCATCCGCATGAGGCTCTTGACTGCTCCAGACTCAGCTGCCACTGGGGCCTTTGCCCCATCAGTGGCATGAACATCTGGCGGCCACAGTGCCAACCTGCGAAGTTTCGCCCAGAGCCGTCAGCCTTAGGATGGCGGAGCTGGCCAGGGACATCCCGGGGAGGAGAGGACGCGCGTGCAGTCACTAAGGTCATTCCATACCAAGACTCGGCACCGTGCATTCCGGGGGCACCGAGAGCCCCAGAACGAGCTCACGGGCAGCCGTGATTGGCAGGGCCTGGATAAAGTCAGGAGATTTCAGTGTGAGGGGCGTTTTCGCTCTCCCTCGAAAAACTGAGAAGGCAGCAGGGAGAGCCAGGACAGGTCAGGGGGCGCGAGCACAGAGACTGGCCCTGCCCCTCATGCTCCCGACCCCTGGAACTGCCAGGCACTGGAGGCCCGCGCACGGCGCCATCCTGCTGGTGAGTGTGGGCAGAGCGCGTGCCGGGCACTGCCACAGGCAGGACCGGCCAGCAGCAAAAGAGAAGTCTGTCTCCTCTCCCTGTCCTGGGCCCCTCACTCTTCTGCCCCCCATTCCCTTCAGAGCCCTGCTGGAGACCACCCAGACCCCCCGGCCTCTCAGGAAATGGGCTGGGCCTCCCAGGGCATGCCCGTGCGGGCCACGGACAGGGTCAGGCCAAGCCCCGCCCGGGCGCATCCAAGGTCGGCCCGGGGCAGCCCCTGGTCCTCAGCCGTGGGTCTCGCCACCCAAGCCCAGGCACCAACCGAGCTCCCCTCACGGACGGGCAGGCAGGGACTGGAAGTTCCGCTTCGGGCAGCGGGAACCCCTGCTCCCCGGCCCTCAATACCCGCTCACGTCTGCGGAGGTGGCTGCGGGCTGCAGATGGGCATGGGTCCATCTGTGCAGGCTGCCCCGTCACATGTCACATAGGGCCTGTGACCACCGCCCTTGGCGTTGCTCCTTAGGCCTGACAGCCGGGACCCGGGCCCGCTGGGCTTGCGCTCTGCATCGCTCACGCCCTTTGACTGATAAGGCCGCAGCGGGGTGCCGTGTGTGTGTGTGTGTGTGTGTGTGTGTGTGTGTGTGTGTGTATGCGTGCATGTATGTGTGTATGTGCGCGTATATCTGTGTGCGCGTGGGTATGTTACATGTGTGCATATGCGCGCATATCTGTGTGCATGTGTCTGAGTGTGTGCGCGCACGTGTACACGTGTCTTTGTGTGCATGTGTGCGTGCGTGTCTTTGTGTGTGTGTAGCGCTGCTCTCTCTCATCCCTCATATGGCGCGAGTGAAGTGTCCGCGCAGGCTGTGGGCCGCAGCCCTAAGCTGACCGGCCTCAGGCCCAGCTGCAGGCAGGAGGTTGGGTTCATGAAGCGCTCGTTCCAGGACAGCGACACAGGGGCCCTTTCTGCTGGGCGGTGCTGTGGCCTTGACCCGGGGCACCTTCGCTGGCTGTCTGGTGGGCAAAGCAGCCCTTCCTGTGCCTTGCCCCGTTGTTTAGGCCCCAGGACCCCGACGAGTCAGGACAGCAGGCAGGGTCGGGAGGGGAGGTCACGTGGCGCTAAGGGCTCCAGGCGTGTTGCCTTCCGCCTCCCATCCCCGAGTTTGGGTTGCCCAAGCTCCCGTGCCCTGCCTGCTCCCTGTCCCAGGGGGGGCTCCTGCCCCGTCTGCACCCCCCCATCCCTCCGTGTCGTCTCCTGCACACTAGCCCGTGTTGCTGTCCCCTGTGGCCTGTCGCACACGCATCCCCGTGCCTGGCTTCCGTGTACCGCTTACCTGTGTGCTAATTGCCTGTACGTCTGCTTATTAGCTGTGCTCCCAGGGGCGCGCCTGCAGCGCTTGGCCGGGGAGGGGTGGAGCCGCGCAGTGAGGCTCTTGCCCTGGGCTGGCGGCGGCTGATGTGTAAGAAGGGCCATGGTTGGGCGCTCACATGCCACTCTCAGCCCAAAAGAAAAAGGCTGCGGGCCCTGTGTGGGGCTCCGAGCCTGCTGCTCTGTCCCCCGGGGCGGCTGTCCTGAGGGTCCCTGAGTCCCATGGACGAACCCCAGTCCGCAGTTGCCCTTCCTCTCGCGTGGGCGTCAGAGGGCAGATGCTGAAACCCCGCACACCGAGCCTGTCAGGGCGGGCAGCAGACCGGAGCTGCCGTGGCGAGTAGGCGCCCCGAAAGGAAAGGACCCAGGATTAGCGGGGGGACACGCATGACTGTGCCTGTCTTTTCTCTTAGTTGCTTGTTCAGCTCAAGTTCTTGGGTGATGAGGACAGAGCCCAGTCCTATAAGGGAATTCCAGATTTGTGCAGGCGGGGGGGGAGGGGAGCACCTTAAAAAAAATCAACTTTTTTTTTTTTGATTCATCCACGGTGGTGCTCAGGGGTTACCTCTGGCTCTGCTCCAGGGCTGTCCCCAGCCTTGCCTGGCCTCTAGCAGACAGAGCGTGAAGTCTGCAGCCCCTCCTTTGAGCACTGATTCTCCATCTCACACAAGCAAATTTCATACCTGCTCCTTCTTTTTTTTTTTTATTTTGGTCTTTTGGGGTCACACCCAGCAATGCACAGGGGTTACTCCTGGCTCTGCACTCAGGAATTACTCCTGGCAGTGCTCGGGGGAACATATGGGATGCTGGGGATTGAACCCGGGTCGGCCGTGTGCAAGGCAGAAGCCCTATCTGCTATACTATCACTCCAGCCCCCTCATGCCTTCTTAACGTGCTTTTTGCAAGCTGCTAGAATTTGCATTTAGAACATCCCAGGGCTTACTCCTATGTTCCCTGGGAGCCTAGTTTGAGAACCACTGAAACAGTAGAGCAAGAGTCCCTCAAGCTGACCCCGCGACTCAGAATTCTGTGTCTGGGCTGGGAGGTAGAGGTGCGGGCTGGGCACAGGCTCTGCAGGGGACAGCCCAGACTTGGTCCTGCTCCACGTGCACGGTTCCTCTGAGGGGGGAACAGCCCCCCGCTGCCAAGCGCTGCGCCAGAAGCATGGCCAGTTTTGGCCTCCGGACAGAGCAGGACAACCGCAAAGAAATCTGGGTCCAGGTTGGCAGCTCGAAGGGCAAGTGCAGATGCTCTGAGCGTGGAAGCCCCAGGTTTTGATCCCCAGGACCGCATGGTACTAAGGAACCCCCGCCCCGCCAGTGTGCTTTTCTTTTAGAGCTGTGACTAGTGATGTTCGGAGAACGATCTCCCTCTCTCTCTCTTTCTCTCGGCTATATTAGTCAAGTCGAGTCAGGTTTGGGTTTGGGTTTTTCGTTTTTTATTTTTTTAAGCAAAAAAAAAAAAGTGTTTCTTGGGGCGGGCACCACAGTACAGCGGGTAGGGTGCTGACACGGGCTCTATCCTCAGCATCCCCGATGGTCCCCCCAAGCCCACAGGGTTCCTGAGTGCAGAGCCAGGAGGAACCCCAGAGCACTGCCAGGCCTGGCCCCCAAACCAGAAACGAAGCGTTTCTTCAGCTGTTCATTCCTCACGCGCTGCTGGCTCCCAGATGGCCCTGCCAAGACAGGGGCCTCTGTGGCTCACACTGCCCACAGGACCCCCCAAACAGCCACGTGTGCAGAAGCAGCGCTGGGCAGGGACACGCCTCTCCCTGGAACAGGCTCCCCGGCCCCAGCCCACCCCAGGGGTCTCTGGTCAGTTGGGGTGAGGAAGGGGGCAGGCACGTGCGTTCCGCTGCCTGACTCTCCCGCTCTCTTGCCTCCCCTCCTGCAGAACACGAACTTGACTACCCAGGAACACGAGAACATCATCGTGGTGAGTTCCGGGGCGCCGTGCCCCCCCTCCCCGCACCCCACTCCCCGCCCAGCCTGTGTTTGGAAGAGCCAGGGTCACCCCACCTTCGCAGCCGAGCACACCCGGTTTCGGCTTCTCCGTCAAGCCAGCCGAGCCTCCCTCCTGCCCGTGCGTCTCCCAGCCCTGATTGATCGGGAGGCGGTAATTAGAAGCGTGTCTCGGTCGCCTCCGCCCGCACGCGCGCCGCCACCGGGGCGGGAGATGGTGGGGACCGTCACTTATTCCGAGGCGGAACCCGACTAGCTGAAAGGTAAACGGACCCGCTCCCGCCGCGGGACAGGCCTTCTAATTAATCCACAAATAGAAGCTGACTTTACTGCCCTCCCAGTACCGCAGGTGGGAGGGTGCTTTCTGGTCTCGGCTATGATGCAAGTGTCTTTGGGGTTCAGCTTATTTCCTGAGCCGTTCTGAGCTCTGGAATGAGGCTCTCGCCAGGGAAGGGAAGAGCCGTGGGAGGATAGGCGGTTGAGGGGACTGCAGGAGTACGGAGAGGAGCTCTCGCCTGGGAGGAGCGTCCAAGGGCTGCCTGGAGGCAGTGCTCTCTGGACTGGGTTTTGAGGAATCAATAGGAGTTTGCAGGCAGTTGGTAGAAGGGGGGGGGGGGGAGCGGGGAAGTGGTATACGGCCCGTCAGAGCAGCACAGCAAAGTATGCCAGGGTATATTCTGGAGCGTGAAGCAGAAGGATGTGGAGAAGCAAGAACACAGGACTTGAAAAAGAACGGAGAGGCGGAACCTTGGGGGGCCAGCAAAGGGCGTGAAATGCTCGGCTGTGGCCCAGAATCGAGGGGGCTCCCCACCACTGCCGTGCCCCCGGCGACTAGAACTACCCGCCTGCCCCATCTTTCTAAAGAGGGCTTTGGAATAATTTTCTCTGGGCCAGAGGGACAGTCCAACAGGGAGGGCACTTGCCCTGCACGTGGGCAAGCCAGGTTCTGTCCCCGGCATCCATATGGGGGGGATCAGAGCATCACTGGTGTGGCCCCTGCCTGTCCTAGGCGGTCATTCTCATGGCAGCCTGTGGCCTTCCCCTTGGCAGGGGACAGCTGGGGGGTCCTCCCCCATGTCCCAGGGACTCACTGTTGGGGGCCACCAAGCAGGCAGGGCTGCGCTGTGAGCCTGTGCGGGCTGCCAGGGCCTCTGCAGCCAGGTCTGTGAAGGGGCCAGTGACGGGCATGGCCTGTGTCCCCAAGGACAGTTGCCTTCCTCCCATCACAGAGAGGTAGGGCTGGACAGCATAGGTTGTGGGTCTCCTGTCCCCTGCACTCGTGCCTGGCCTGGCAGATGGCATGTGGGGTCATTAGCCCTCCAGGGACAGCAGCGGGACCCTCTGGCCAGCCCTGGGGCTGCGGCATCTCCTGCTAAACCCTTGGCAGTGTGTGCACACTTTCTCCTTCTCGAGGGTCAGACCGGGAGTGCGGATCCCAGCGAGATGGCGAAGGCGGCCATCAGAAAGGGGCTTCCCCTGCACCCCACCCAGGGTGGGTCGTGGTTCCCACCCAGGACAGGCTGGGAGCGGCAGCGCGTGGGCAGGAGTGAATTGGGGAAGTGCAGCGGGCCTGGCCTGTGCAGTGCAGGGGGCGCCGGGCTTGTCCCCAGCGGATGCTGGCAGCTGGGGTGCAGGCCAGGGGGGTGCTCCGTGTCGCTCCGGCCAGGCCCACCTCCACAGTGGCAGTTGGCCTGGTGTCCGCTGTGTGGCACATTGCAGACTCCATGCGCCCCTGGGCAGGTAGGAACCGGGCTCAGAGAGAAAATTCTCCCCAAGGGTCCCCAGAGAGGACACCCCCGAACTGGGACCCTGCTCCCCACCCCCTGGGCGCCTGGCCTCTGTGACCTCTGCCTCGGAGACACGTAGATGGGCATCACGGGGTCGCGAAACCCTGAAAGTCACCTTCGCATCACCTGCGTTTCCCTTCCCGGGGATTAGCCCGGTAGCTGTCACCAGCGACCCGCACCCCAAAAGGCGGAGCCCTGGCTGCCCAACAAGTGCCCCCACCACCCCGGGCCTGCCCCTGGCGTGCTCCTGACCCCGTGGTGTCTTGCAGGCCATCGCTCCTTTGCTGGAAAACAACCACCCGCCACCAGACCTCTGTGAATTCTTCTGCAAGGTACGGACGGGCAGCGCCGTGGCTGGGCCTCGCCGGGCCAGTCCCACCACCCACCTCCTGCGTGGGCTCCGGGGCGGCAAGGGAAGCCCCGGCACCGCCCTGCAGGTGGCAGCCCTATCCCTTCCCCCGCCGGGCAGGCGTACGCGGGCACAGGCCACGGAGCAGCAGGCCGGGCGGAGCCGCCGGCTTTTCCTCGGCAAAGCTCCGTGGCCATCTGGGGAGACGCAGGCAGCAGGTTTTGTGGGCCCTGACGTCAGCGCCAGGCTATTCTTAGCCGAGGCGCCTCTGTGCTCCGGCTGGCACACAGTGGGGGCACAGCCGTGGGGCTTCCCCCGACAGGGCAGTCGGCAGCGGCTGCCAGGTGAGCCCGCAGGAGCCCGGGCACGCGGAGCCAGCCGTGGGGGAGCGCGAGGGACCAGGCCCTCTGCCGTCCACTGCCTCGCTGCCACTTCCTCCGGGACACTGTGTCGCAGGCCCTCAGCTCCTCAGGCTATGCGTCCCCTCCGCGGAGTGCCCCCAGGAGCCCCTCAGAGAGTCTGCCATGCTCTGGCCCAGCGGGCCGCAGACGCCTGCTTCTCCGTGAGGGGCTTTCCTGTCCCTTCTGACCCCGTGTCTCTGTAGGACACTCCTTCCGTTGGGCCCAGAACCGGCACCCCCTCCCCGCTCCCCCGTGGACATGTCTGACCTGGGCCCACGTGTGCAGCTGGGACCGCACATGTGTGTGTGTGAGCGAGAGAGGGGCACACCAGGGCATCTCGTGCAGAATGGGGCTTGTACCCTACTGTGTGGCCCCCGAGACTGGCGTCTCCGCGTGACCTGTGTTCACAGCCAGGTGTCAGGTCAGGTGGAGGATGTTGATTTCGCTCCGGGTTCCCTGAGTCTGCGGGCTCATGTCCCCCACCCAGGACCGGGAATACAGCGGGCCACATGCAGGCAGACACGTGGTGGGGCCCCCAAAGCCGCAGCCACTCTTGTGGGCAGGAAGGGCTTTTCCCTTCAATGCTGGAACCTCCGCAGCTATTAGAGTGCGTGGACATCCCATCTAGCTGCCTTAACTCTGGCCAGAGGTGAACCCCGGTGCCCCGTAGTGGGCTGCCCACTGCCCGGTGCTGACCGACGCTGACCGGTCCTCTCTCCTCTCTCTGCAGCACTGCAGGGAGCGGCCCCGGTCCATGGTGGTCATCGAAGTGTTCACCCCCGTGGTCCAGAGAATCCTTAAACATAACATGGTGAGTGGCCTGCCCCGCTGCCCGAGCCTGGTCCCCGCTTCTCTCCCACAGAGATCTGGGGACCCGGGTGCTTGCTCAGGAGAGACGCCTCACGCACGGCAGTGCAGGGACTAAGTTCCAGAGCGGGCCCCGGTCCCCCTGACCCTCACCCCCACCCCACGTGGCAGACATTCTCCGTCTAGCCGTGTCCGGGCCCACGTGCAGGCAGGCACCACCCCCTCGGGCCCCGTGGATTCCGTTGGCCACCCCCGGCCCGTTGGTAAATTGTTGCCTGCTCCTGAAGCCTCCTTGACTTGGGGGGTCCGTGTTTGTTTTCTGGGGCGGGGGCACCAATTCTTACTCCAGGACTAACAAAGGTACCCCCGCCGCCCCCATCCCCCCACGCTCACACAGCACCTTGGGAGAGGCGGGAGGGGCCTGGACCTGCTTTCTTCTTTCCCGGGGTTCAGCCCCGACCCCCACAAAGATGCAGACTATGCCCCTTCGCCGGGGTGGGGCAGGGGGGGAGTGGGCGCATGGAGATCTGGTGGTCCCACCCTCTCCTCGGGGTGCACGGCCACTGGCCACGGGGCACCCGCTCTCCTGTCACCCCTCCTTTTTAGAGGACTAGCAGAGCCCCACGTCCTTAGTTTGAAATCAACCAGCTACAGCCTTCTCTTCCTGCAGTGAAGTGTGTGCGTGCACGAGTGTGCATGCGGGTCCGTGCATGTGTCATGTATACCCTCACGTGTGTACCTCATGTGTATGGGGATGCGCATTGCACGCTGGTCTTGCGTGCACGTTTGTGTGTGTGCTTGCAGGCTTGGGTGGTTCCTTCCAAGCTTTCCGGGGGTGTCAGCGGGCCCGTGGGTGAGGGATTGTCAGGTGACCTGCATTCAGGCCCTGAGGGCCCAGGAGAAGCCCAGGGAAGGTGGGAGCAGCTCCGGGGGTGGCCACTCCCGAAGGTCCTGTCTGGCTTTGGTCAGCGCTGGATTCTGGTTCTGCTGAGCAGGGACCCGCAGCGGGCCAGCAGCAGGCAGCCTGGGGCCCTCGCCCGCACACGAGGCTGCCGTGTCCCAGCAGTGCTGGGTCCTCCGAGCCCTCTGCAGCGTCACCCCGCTCACCCCCGCCCCCTCTCCGCAGGACTTCGGGAAATGCCCGCGACTGAGGCTCTTCACTCAGGAGTACATCCTGGCGCTGAACGAGCTCAACGCGGGGATGGAAGTGGTGAAGAAGTTCATCCAGAGGTAGGCCGCAGGCAGACAGACACACACACACATACACAGAGCTGCTTGATCCCATGCTGTGCCCTCAGTAATGTGCCTTCCCACACACTTGTGGGCCACGGGGCCGGGTGGGTGGGGAACAGCACCCTGGTGGCCCCAACAGTCATCTTCAGGGTCCTGAAATGCCACCCCCCAAACTGGAAGAGGGTCCGATGCTCTGGTTCTTACACTCCTGTGTCCAGGGCCGGGACACAGCCCAGTGGCCAGGGATGCATGACCCTACTCCCAGCCCCGCTGGGCCCTGGGCATGGGACTGTTCCCCCGGTCGGCCACGTCTCACCAGGGATGGCCCCTGATGCTCCTTTAGGCCTCTGGTGCTCCCAGCCCGGTGCTCTCTGGGCCTTGGTGTCCCTCTGCCCGTGGCCGGGAGCTGACCAGCAGCCGCTGGTGTGGTTCTGCGTAGCTCTCCGCACTGACAGGCCAGCCACAAGCTTCCTGAACATCTTCCCTGAGACTCCCAGCGCTGCCAAGCCCAGGGCCGGCTCCTTTTGTCCAGAGCACCCGGCACGGGGGTCCCAGGTGGTCCCAGAGCAGCCCTGGAGGGCAGCGTTTTGTTCCCACCCACGGGCGAGGACACTGAGGGGCAGAGCAGGCTGCGGTCGTAGCCTCTTAGACATCAGCTGCCCAGATACCCCCGGCCAGCCGCTCACCTGCTCGCTCTCTCTCTCTCTTTCTCTCTTTCTCTCTCTCTCTCTCTCTCTCTCTCTCTCTCTCTCTCTCTCACAGCATGCACGGCCCCACTGGGCACTGCCCCCACCCCCGGGTCCTGCCCAACCTGGTGGCCGTGTGCCTGGCCGCCATCTACTCCTGCTACGAAGAGTTCATCAACAGGTCAGTCCCCCTCACCGCCCACGGGGCCGCCCCCAGGTGCCCGCGGACTCCAGGCCGCGAGGACAGAGCCCAGGAGGCCACCAGGAAAGCCAGCGGGACCCCGTGTGCTGGGCTGGGGGCCGCTGGGGGAGGAGGGCGGTCCTGTGGGCGGAGCACACATGTGCGAACAGGTGTGGAGCGTGCACATGCGTTCCCCAGCCCCTGTGGGTTGTTTGCCGTCCGGGGCTCAGGCTGCATCTCTCCAGGCAGAGTTGCCACCAGAGTGAGAGGTGTGCAAGCCGCCCACAGGGCAGGCGTGGCAGGCGGCCCTGGCAGGGAGCCAGTGGAGCCTGTGCTAACGAGCCAGTGACCGGGGCGGGCCCGTGACCCCCCACCAGGACTTCCTTGGAGACTCAGGAGCTCGACTCAGTCGCCCCTGGGGCCGTGACGCTGGTGCTTAGTCATTCCTGGGGTGCGGTGTGGCGTGTCAGCCGACGGTGTGCGCGGACTCTCTGGGCCCCTGGGGTGCGGCACAGAGAGCCTCTGGGATGGCCGCTCTGTTGTCTGGGGGCCACACTGGCAGTGCCCAGAGCTTACACCTGGCTCTGGGATGCAGGGCATCCAACCTGGGCCAGCCACGTGCTAGGCCGACACCCTCCTCGCCATCCTCTCTCCGGCCAAAGCACTTGTGTGTGTGTGTGTGTGTGTGTGTGTGTGTGTGTGTGTGTGTGTGTGCGTGTGTGTGTGTGCGCGTGCGTGGGTCCACTGGGTAGCACCGGCCTCACAGTTCAGACTGACTTCCGCCCCAGCCGTGGCACCTGCGGGGACAGGCAGGCACGAGGCACTGAGCCCTGCCCAGGTCCCGGGATGTCCTCACGAGGTGAGGAGGTGGAGACCCGCAGTGACATGGGGCCTGGCATAGAGCTGCCCCCAGGAGGGTCGCCCCCCCAGAGCTGCGTTATTGGCAGCAGTGCCCAAGTAAAAGCAGCCTCGGGCCCTGTGCCCACCCCATCCGGGAGGATCAGAGAGCTCGGATGCTCGGTGGGTTGTGGTTTTATCTCACAGAAGTAGTTTGGGGAAGGGTCTGCGGGCAGACGGCCCTGTCCCCCACAGCCTCCCACAGCGTCTGGCCCTGGGTTCTGTCGCCACGGGTCACCCCTCGGGGATGTGTGTGTGCAGGGCCCTGGGTTGTTCAATTGTGCACTGCTGGGATATCCCAACGCCCCTGCCCTCCAGAGTAAAAATGCCCACTGCCCTGCCCTCGGCTGGCGCTCCTGACCGTCCAGGTGACTCGGGGCTTTCTGGAAATATGGGCTGCGAGCAGGCAGGAGCGCCGCCTGGGGAGAGGGAGGGAGAGCGGCCAAGGCCTTGGGCTTGCCTGGGGGCTACTGGCCAGTGCAGCGCCCATCCCTAGGGGGAGGAAGCAGGAGCAGGCCCTGTGGGAGCGATGTTCGGGGGTGCCGCCTGGCACTAGAGGTCCCTGGGTCTGCTTTCTAGGCCCTGTGGGGCTCTAGGGCGGCTGTCAGAGGGCCAGGGACGCCCTAGAGGCCAAGCAGCTGCTCCTGGGCACAGGCGGTGGCCATCAGCCGGCAGGGGCGGAGTTGTCATGTCCAGGGCCCTCAGTGGCCGCTGCAGTGCCAGCACTTGCCGGCGGGGGTTGCGTAAACCCGGTGTTGGACGGGTTCTGCACCTCCCCGGGCCCCTGAGCCCAGGTGGGGGCGCCCAGGGAAGCCGTTGGGCCCCACCCCGCCCTCCCACCTGTGCCCGGCCCTGGGCAGGAAAGCTGCAAGCTGTGCGCTGGCCTGTCCACGGCCTCCCGCTGGGCACGTGATGTCCGGCCACAGCAGAGCAGACAGCTTGACCCACGTTAGCGTATCTCACCGGAGAATCACCCCCTCGGAGCCAGAGCAGCCGTGGGAACCCGCTCCGAGGAGAATGAGCCCGGGCAGGAGCGTGCCCGCCCCTCCGCTGGCCACACGCGGGCCCCGTGGTGGTGGGGTGGCCCCGCAGGTGGGAAGGGGCCCGCCGGACGGCGCAGGCCACGAGGGTGTGTGTGGAGCCCCGCCACGGCTCAGGGGACCCTAAAGGTGCAGGCCCCGGCGCAGAGACCCCGGCTCGTGTCCGGCCCGGGGGGCTCCTCGCCGCACCGCCCGCCTCACGCGTCCCGCTCCCGCTCCCCAGCCGCGACAACTCCCCGAGCCTGAAGGAGATCCGGAACGGCTGCCAGCAGCCCTGCGACCGGAAGCCCACCTTACCCCTGCGCCTTCTGCACCCCAGCCCGGACCTGGTGTCTCAGGAAGCCACGCTGTCGGAGGCGCGGCTCACGTCGGTGGTCGTGGCCTCCAGCGAGATCCACGTGGAGGTGGAGCACAGCACTGCCAAGCCGGCGCTGACGGCCAGCGCGGGCAACGACAGCGAGCCCAACCTCATCGACTGCCTCATGGTCAGCCCCGCCTGCAGCACGCTGAGCATCGAGCTGGGGCCCCAGGCCGACCGCACGCTCGGCTGCTACGTGGAGATCCTCAAGCTGCTGTGAGTGTCCCGCCCCGGGCGGCGCTGCGGGTGGGCACACACCGGTGTGCGATGGAGCGAGTGTGCACGCGCCTGCCGGGGACACGTGGTTGCAGACCCTTGAGGGCTCTTGCTGATCTGGGGGCGTCCGTGCCTCCGTGGTTCTGGGGGATATGAGTGTCTATGCGCGTAGATGAGCGTGTGGGGGGTGACTGTGTTTATGTGTGCGTGAGCATGTATGAGTGTGGGGGGTGACTTATGTATGAGTACGTTTATCTGTGTGTGCCGTGTGTGTATGTATGAGTGTGTGTCTGTGTGCTGTGCATGACTGAGTGTGTGGGTGTGTGGGGTGACCTTGTATGAGTATGTTTATCTGTGTGTGCCGTGTGTGTATATGTATGAGTGTGTGTGTCTGTGTGCCGTGTATGACTTGAGTGTGTGGATGTGTCTGTTAGGCGTGTGCAGCTGTGTCTGAGTATGTAGAAGTGTGTAGGGTGGATGGGTGTGTGCTAGTATGTGAGTGTATGTCTGTGCAGTGTGTGTGAGTGGCTATAAGCAGAATACACTCTCTCTATACACTCACAAGTGTATAGAGGTGTTTGCCAGGCTGTGACCATATGCGTGTGTGTCTGTTGTGTGTGCGACTGAGCGGATGGGTGTGTCAGTGTGTGGGACCCTAGAGTGTGCGTGTGAGCGTGCATGTGTGTGCCTGTGAATCTGGCCTTGGGCATGGGCAGGGAGGTGGGTGTAGTGTGGGTTGGGCCGCCTGGTTCTGATAACTCACTCAGGGGTCTGCGACTTAGACGGTGGCCCCGTAGTGTGGGTGCAGTGGGGCACTCAGGGGGGGTCATCCCCAAGGGGGTTTCCCTCAGGAAAGCAGCCCCCCCCCCCATGCAGATAGGCTGGCTCCTGGCAGCTCTGGAGAAGAGGTCAGGGGGCGGGGGGCCACTCTGGGGCCCCCATTCCCGGCTGGCGCCCCTGGCCCGTCCTGCCCTCTGAGCCCCTCTGTGCAGCCAGAAAGGGGGTCTCGGTCCAGGGCTTGTTTGCGCTCAGCAGTGCCGGGTCCTGGGCCAACACTCCCGGGTGCCGTGCAGGCGTCAGCCCATGTCTGGCCGCGCCCACTGTGCCATCCGTTCACTCTGTCACTGCCACAGGGGCATGGTCAGGTGGGGGGCAGTGCTGGAGGATGGGGATGTCCCACGGTGACCACCAGCAGGGAGCAGGAGATGCCCAGGGAAGTGCAGGGCAAAGCCCGCCCCCGAGGACACGCACTTCTCCAAGGCAGCGGGGCTGTCCTCGCTTTCTCTCGGCCGGGCCTCCCAGTCTGACACGGTTGCGGGACCCCCCCAGAGCTGCTGGGCCCTGCCAGAGGTGCTTCCTGGTGTGGGGGGGGTCCTGCTCTGGGGACATGCAGGCCTTGCTGGGGCAGAGCTCGTCCTTCCAGAAGCTTCTCTCTCCATGGGGGGCAGTGACTTCGCTGAGCCACCCTAACATGTCAGAGCTGCAGGCACAGGATCTGCTCGGGGCCGCAGGCCTTGTCCATTCTGCCCAGTGGCCTTTGGGCAGTGAGAGGCTGCCATGTGATGAGGGGCAGGCGGGTCACCTTCCAGCATCCACCCCGGGCACACTGGGACCATGCCAGGCTCTGGGGGACTGCGTTGCTGTGTCCTTCTGCCGGGCGAGTGAGGCACATCCTGGGAGCGTCTCTCCTCAGGGGGCCTCACCTGGCCTGGGTGCTGGTGGCTGTGGACACACTCTGGGTGCCGAGTGACGCGTCCCCTCCACAGGGAGGGTGCTGTTCGGAGGAGCGTGGCGGGGATCACGCTGAGGGCCACACAGGGAGCCTGCACGGGCTGAGGGGCTGAACACCCGAGCCCTCCCCAAGTCCCCAGCACCGGCGCCCGCCCTCCCGTCCCCACAAGGGGGGCAATGGGAGCCCCAGTCTCGGGCCCACCCTCAGGCTGCCAGGCCCCCGGGTGGGCTGGACTGCATGGGCGCCGTGACAGAGGAAGAAGGAGCAGGAAGCTCTCGCCAGGGTTTCCCTGACCTGCCAGGGGAGGCAGATGCGGGTCTCAGGGTGCAGACGCCCTGTCCCAGTGTGGGCCACACTCAGCAGATGCACAACGCACAGAGCACGGGGTCCGGAAAGCGCCGTGTGGGGGGTGGGGTGGTCAGGCCAAGACACCCCTTGAGGCCTAAGGATGGAGCCTGCGATGACGCTGTGAGAGGGCGAACCAGGGCCTGGACGCTCTCACCCCGCGGTGGCCATTCCCTGTGGGTTGCCGTCGGAGCTCTGGGTCCCCAGTGCTGTCGTGCTGACCCCACTTTGTCCTTGCAGGTCGGACTATGACGACTGGAGACCATCGCTGGCCAGCTTGCTTCAACCCATTCCATTCCCCAAAGAGTAAGTCGGCCTGGCCCCGTGCTTCTGTGACCGGGAGAAAGGCCGCAGGCGGCCAGCAGGCCTTAGCAGGGCGCAAGTCCGGGCCACACCAGGTCCAGCCGCGTCACTGGCACCATGTGGTCCCTCAGCACTAAAGAGAAGCCTCCAAGCATGACTGGATGTGGCCCTCACCCTTTTTTTTTTTAAGTGAAAAATAAAGGGGCCTGCTGGAGCGATAGCATAGGGCGCTAGGGCGTTTGCCTTGCACGCGGCCAACCCAGTTCGATTCCCAGCATCCCATATGGTCCCCTGAGCACCGCCAGGGGTGATTCCTGAGTGCAGAGCCAGGAGGAACCCCTGTGCATCCCCGGGTGTGACCCCAAAAAAGCAAAAAAATAAAATGAAGGGGCCGGAGCGATAGGACAGCAGGTAGGGGGCTGGCCGTGGCCATGTGTGTGGTCTTCCTGGTTCTTTCCCCAGCACCCCAGGTCTCCTGGACCTGCCAGGAGTGGTCCCTGAGCACTGAGCTAGGTGTCAGAAGGCAAAGCTGGGTATGGCTCAGAACCTGCCCCCTAAAGGCGGAGAACCCCCGGCCTGAGGCTTTGAGGGTTCAGTGAACCCAGCAAGCATGCCCCGGACCCTCTCCGGGGCCTCGGGTAGGCTGGCCCAGGGTCAGTCCCAACTGCACGAGGAAGCGGGTCCCTCGTACCCCCATGTCCCCCCACCCCCCCGCTCCCTCGGACTGTCCCAGGGAAGTGAGTGGCCGGCAGGCCCTGAGATGCCTGGGGTGTCTGTTTTGATCGATTTGAGGGCGCGGATCTCGGGGGGCAGCCGGGCGCGCTCTAATTAGCGAGCCGCTGTTTATGAAATGTGGCTCCCGGAGGGGGGCATTACACTCGGTAATGGCCCCATTTGCCGGCCGGGGGCCCCCCTGGGGCTGGGGCAGGAGAGATCTGACTCCCCACAGCCCCAGGGACACACGTGCGGGGCCCGTGATGCAACTGGCTGGGCGGCCCCAGGGGCCACGCATGCTGCCACTAATGAGCGCGGCTGCCCCTTAATTGTGGAACAAGCCGCAGGCACACCTGGGGCCCCGGCTGCACCTCTGTGCCAGCTATGGGGCTCGGGGCCGGGGGGCTCCACGTCCTGCGGCGCCCACTCATGGCCCCTCTCTCTCTTCCAGAGCCCTCGCACACGAGAAGTTCACCAAGTGAGTACTGGGCCCCGCCCCTCCGGCCTGCCTCACTGTCCCCCGTGCTCTCCCTGGGGAGGTCACACGCATCCAGCCCCTCTAGGCCCACCTGAGGCGAGACCCCAAACACGCTCACCTGGGCTTCATCTCTTGCAGGGAACTGAAGTACGTGATCCAGAGGTTCGCCGAAGACCCCCGACAAGAGGTAAGCCTCTCTCGCAGTGGTCTTGTGGGTCACCCCAGCAGTTGACAAAGGCCATGTTGGTGTGTCCACATGGCCCCGCACTTCCAGACCCCTGTTCAGTAGATGTGGGGGTCCCTGACCCCGAAGGTGGTCTTCACCCTGGAATTCGGTGCCCTGAGGATTGGCGGGGCGGGGTAGCTTTTGCTCCCTGGACGTGGTGCCCCGTACTGAGCCCACCGTGCTGGCCTGTGCCGCGTGGACACCACCACGGACTGGCCTTGGAGAGTCCCCACGGGCTCTGCCCAGGCTGCCCCATGTCAGTTGGGGCCGGCTGAGCTGGCAGAAAGGTGGGTGGAGGCAGGGCCCATCCTCCTCCTCTGCTCTGGATCGAGAGGACACCAGCCCGAAGGCAGCCGGACCCTCAGCCCGGGCCCCGGGGGTGGCAGGGCCACAGAGGCAGTGGTCCCAGTATCCCGGGGGGCTGTCAGTGCATTCCCTGTGGGGACTCAGCTTCACGGTGCCCCCCAGAAACAAACCCACGCTCCAAGCACCCGCTCATGAGCTGACGGTTGAACACAGGACCAGCCCTGCCCTGGACGGGACAGGGAGGAGGAAGGCCTTGTGTGCAGAGACCCCGGAACCTGATGCGAGGGCGCGTCCTCGGACACGCAGATGCACATGTATGCATGTGTACACACGCACATGCACACGCACACACACACCCCCCGCTGCCTTCCGGAGTGCGGTGCCTGTCAGAAGCTCGGCGAGCTGTGCTCATGCCCCATCCTGGCCGGGCAGAGACCTTCCCGGGAAGGGGCACGCCAGAGGGCGGGGTGCAGTGGACAGAGAGCCAGCCCGGGTGGGTGACGCCGCGTGTCCCCCCAGGTGCACTCATGCCTGCTGAGCGTGCGGGCCGGCAAGGACGGCTGGTTCCAGCTCTACAGCCCCGGAGGGGTGGCCTGTGACGACGACGGGGAGCTCTTTGCCAGCATGGTGCGTGCGGGGGCCGCGCCCGGCCAGCCGTCCCACCCCTGACACTCTTGTCCCCCACTGCGGCGTGCAGCCTGAGCACCCGGACCCCGCCGCCGCGGGTGGACACGATCCCCAAGGCCTCTCCCCGCTGTGGTGCCCTGGGACGTGGCGGCCACCACGTTCCACTGCCACCGGCCTGCTCTGTCCCCTGCCTGGCACTGCCCTGGGCCGCTGGCATGCCTCCTGTGGCTTCTTCCTGTTCCCTCCTCCGCGAAATGGGCTGATGGGCATCCCGGGGGCTTCTCTGGTCACCACGCGAGCGTGCCCCACGGAGAGGTGCCCAGCTAGGCCACACTTGGAAGGGACAGTGCGGGTCCTGCCAGCTCGGGTGGGTCTCAGCGCTCCGGGGGCTCCCCTGACGTCACAGCTTTGCCATGGCAACACCTGGGGGTCCCGTCCCCCCCGTCCCTTGAGTCTGGGACTCAGAGTGAGGTGGCACCGGCAGTTGCCCAGCCAGGAGCACACCTTTGTCTGCCGGGGTGTGCACGGGGAGCGAGGGGGACACGAGGCAGGGCCCCTGCTGGGTGGGTTTCCCGCCCTTCCTCGGCTGGCCCTGGAGGCCAGAGGGAGCAGGTGGTCACGCGTGTCCTGGGGGCTCCCGTGGCAGGCACCTCAGCACCGGCCTGGGCTGCCGTCCTCGGCTCCCCCAGTGAGGCCCGTCTGTCTGCGGGTCCATCTGTCCGTCCCCCCGGCCCTGTGCCCCCGGGGTGTGTCCCGAGGCCGTGTGCCCCGGGGCTGCCTGCCCATCCGGGAGGGGTGCCGCGCTTCCTGGGGGGGCACGCTGGGCGCGGCCCCGCGGTCCCCCCTCACCCGGACGCCCCCTCCAGGTGCACATCCTCATGGGCTCCTGTTACAAGACCAAAAAATTCCTGCTGTCCCTGGCGGAAAACAAGCTGGGGCCCTGCATGCTCCTGGCCCTGCGGGGCAACCAGACCATGGTGGAGGTGAGCGCGGGCGGGGGGCACGTCCCGGGCGGGGGGCGCGTGGGCGCAGGGGGGGGGCCCCTGCGCGGGGCGGCTGGTGAGCAGCCGAGTGCCCGCAGATCCTGTGCCTCATGCTGGAGTACAACGTCATCGACAACAACGACACGCAGCTGCAGATCATCTCCACGCTGGAGAGCACGGGCGCCGGCAAGCGCATGTACGAGCAGCTCTGCGACCGGCAGCGGGAGCTGAAGGAGCTGGTGAGCCCCCGACCCCTGGCCCCCGACCCCCGGGGGGCCCACAGCCAGACTCCTGACCCTGACCCCCGACCCCCGGGGGGCCCACAGCCAGACTCCTGACCCTGACCCCCGACCCCCGGGGGGCCCACAGCCAGACTCCTGACCCTGACCCCCGACCCCCGGGGGGCCCACAGCCAGACTCCTGACCCTGACCCCCGACCCCCGGGGGGCCCACAGCCAGACTCCTGACCCTGACCCCCGACCCCCGGGGGGCCCACAGCCAGACTCCTGACCCTGACCCCCAACCCCTGGGGGGCCCACACCCCGATCCCCGGCCCCCAAGCTCCAACCCTTGACCCCCGTGGGGCTCGTAGCTTCGACCCCTCCACCCCTGCGGGGCCCCAGTCCGACCCTCTTCCACACCCACGGGAGCCAACGTTGGCCCAGGAAGGGAGGCAGGCGTGGCAGACAGCAGTGAGGCTGCCCGCACCCTCTGGTCTGTGGGCCCGGGGGCTCCGCTCCCTCCCCGCTCACTGCGGCTGAGACCGGGCCACCCCACTAGGACGCCCCCGGGGCTGGAGTAATAGCACAGCGGGCAGGGCGTTTGCCTTGCACGCGGCCAACCGCCAACCCGGGTTCGATTCCCAGCATCCCATATGGTCCCCCAAGCACCGCCAGGAGGAATTCCTGAGTGCAGAGCCAGGAGGAACCCCTGTGCATTGCCGAGTGTGACCCAAAAAGCAAAAAAAAAAAAAAAAAGGATGCCCTGGGTCACCGCTACTAAACTCTCGGGCCACCTCAAAACACTGATTCGCCCTGTTGCCTTCTGTCCCCCAAGAACCAAACAGGGGGCCCTGGAGGTACAGGGCGCGGATACTCACTGCCCGCGTGGCCCGCCCTCGCTCCACCCCTGCCACTGTGTGACCACCCCCCACCCCCAGTGCCACCAGGAAAGGGCCCTGAGCGCTGAGTCAGCAGTGATCCCTGAGGACTGGGCGTGGGGGGAGGCGGGGGGCGCGCCGGGTCCTGACTGTGTCCTTGCCTCCGCTGCAGCAAAGGAAAGGCGGGCCCACCAGGCTGACACTGCCCTCCAAGTCCACGGTGAGTGTCCCCTCCTCGCTGTGGGCCCGGGGCGGGGGGACCGGACTTCCCGGAAGGGACCTGAAATCCATCTGACAGCAGGGCTGAGTTCTCCATCCCCAGCTCCCTGGGAACAGCTAGAGGGACTGGAGCAGTAGCGCAGGTCGGACCCAGATCGAACCTGGGTTCAATCCCCGCACCCCAGGAGGGATCCCTGAGTGCAGAGCCAGGAGTCAGCCCTGAGCACTGACACACGGAGCAGCAGTGACGCTGGCGTGCCTGGGCATCTGCCTGCCAGGACGGGCTGTGCCTCTGCCCGTCCCCCGTCCCACCGGCTCTTTGGGGGTTTCCGCGTCTCCCGTCGTGCTCTCCCGCTGTCCTTGGTGGCTGCCTCCTCCTGGTTCAGAAAGGCTGTCCCAGCTCCAGCCGTCTTATCTTCATTGCAGCCAGCAGGAAGGAGGAAGAGGCAGCTGGGGGTGCCGCTTCCTGGAAGCCCACTTAGGTCCCCTTGTTGGGCTTCGGACGTGGCCCAAGGCCCCGCCTAGTGGGGGATCCGCCCCAAAGCCGAGCCGCCGGGCAGCGGCTGAGACTCCGGGACCCTCAGGAGCTGGGAAGGGCCCCGGCCTGAGCTGCCTCGGGCTGGCGCTCGGGCACCGGTCAGTCCCCACGGGCCTCGTGTGTGCATGGCGAAGGCGGGACCAGGTGCTGCCCTCACGTGTGCGCTCACTCCCACGCATGCACACGGGGCGCGGACGCACGCACGCATATGCGCACACGGGCCCGCCGGAGGGACGTGGCCTCAGAACACCCCACTCAGCCCTGAGTCCCGGGGCCACCCCCCTCCCGGCACCCCTCCGGGCCCGGCCCGGCAGCCCCGAGACCCGCCCGCCCTCTCCACAGGACGCAGACCTGGCGCGTCTGCTGAGCTCTGGCTCCTTCGGAAACCTGGAGAACCTCAGTTTGGCCTTCACCAACGTGACCAGTGCCTGCGCCGAGCAGCTCATCAAACTGCCTTCCCTCAAGCAGCTCAACCTGTGGTCCACTCAGGTGCCCGCACCCCCTCATCGGAGCCCCCTCCCCACCGCCCGTCCCCGCCCGCTCCTCCCTGCACCCTCCTCCTTGCCTTCCTGCCTTTCCTCCCTGCCTGGTGCCTGGTTCTCGTGGCAGGTCCCCAAGCAGAGTCAGTCAGCCCCAGAGGCTCTGATTAGTTGAGCTGAGGGGTGATGCCAGGTCACTCACCCGACTCGGGGCTGGGGGTCATCCCCGACTCTGCCCTCATCCTCACAGTTTAGACAGTCGGTGGGTGGGAGGCCCCCGAGTCCGGAACCCCTGACCGATGGCAGAACCGGGCCCCGTAGCGGAAGGCGGGGCTCGGCCCGGATTCAAACCCGAGGCCTTTGAGTCTTCGGGGAGCAGCGGGAGCAGCCCAGACCCCGGGCCGGGGGTCACGGTGGCCTCTCTGCCCCCCCAGTTTGGAGACGCCGGCCTGCGGCTCCTGTCGGAACACCTCACCATGCTCCAGGTGCTGAACCTGTGTGAGACGCCCGTCACGGACGCCGGCCTGCTGGCCCTCAGCTGTGAGTGTGGCCCAGGCCGGGCACGGCAGGGGGGAAAAGGCGTGTGTGTAAGGCCTGGCCACGGGGTCACATCACAGGCCCTGAAGGGCCAAGGTCAAGGCAGGGGTGCCCTTACTTAGCTGGCCGGCCGGATCGTGGCCCCCAACCTGAGGCTAGGCAAGGCCATGGCTGAGAGGCCCACGGAGCCTCACAGTTCTCCAGGCCAGTCGCGTGCCCACACTGGGGGCCCCAGCTGGCGGGGGGAGGGGGGCTGCTTCTGCCTCTGGTGGTGCCGCACCTGGGAGGGACCGAGGGAGGCGCTGGGGCAGTGGCGGAGTCAGGACCGGCCAGGAGGCATGTTTGGCAGCGGGCCGTGTTCCACGAGTGGCCGCGGGCTCCCGCTGGCCGCTGGCTGGCCCCGGGTCCCGGCATCCGTGACCCCCTGTGTCTGTCTGTCTGTCTGTCCGCCCTGGCAGCCATGAAAAGTCTCTGCAGTTTAAACATGAACAGCACCAAGCTCTCGGCCGACACCTACGAGGATCTGAAGGTGACGAGGGTGCGGGTGTGAGGGCCGATGGGGGCCCCCGGCGGCCGCGGGGGGCGCCTGTCCGGGCCGGGGGGTGCCTGCGGGGCTGGACAGCTGCGCCCCTTGCTCCCGCAGGCCAAGCTCCCCAACCTGAAGGAGGTGGACGTGCGCTACACGGAGGCCTGGTGAAGGCGCCACGCAGCTCTGACTCCTAGACGTAGCGCCGGGCCTGGGGGTGCCCCCCGCCAGCGTCCGGCTGTGAGCTAGATGGGGGAGTCTTTCCGGGGGCAGAGGGCGGAGGGGGGAGGGGGGAGGGGGCCCGTCAGCACGCCCAGCCCCCGCCTAATTCTTGTAGCTTCGTAATGGGGAACTTCGACTTGATTCAACGGACTTGGTAGCAGCCAGCGGAGTGGCGGGCCGGGCTGGGGAGGGGGGGCGGGCGGGGAGGGGACCCTTCGTGGATTTTCTTTGCCTTTGTGTTGAATCGCCGCGCATGGCGACAGCTCCAACAGCAGCGACCATCTCGTGACCCCGATGGGCTTGGGGGCGGGGGCGCCCCGGGCTGCCCGCTTCCCCCGGGGAGGCGGCACCTGCCTTGCGACCCCCACACCCTCCGCCGCCCCGTTGGGACCAGAAGACCCAGCCGCCGGCCCGGCCCGTGTCCTCGTCGCTATGCAAAGTGATTCTCGTTGTACATAAGATGGAACTAACGCGCCTATTTAAGAAATGTCGACAGGTCCGTGGGTCTGGGACCTGTCCCTTATTTATGAAGTCTCGACCCTCGCCCGCCCCAGGCCTGTAGCACTGTCGGAACTGGTCCGCGTCTGTCTGTCTGTCTGTGGGGGTAGTGGTAGTGTTATTGTTATTTTTTTAAAAGGAAACAAGACAAAAAAAAAAAGAAAAAAAAAAGAACCAACCTCCTTGGAAAATCAATTGCTTTTTCCTAATGGATTCTGTATGCTAATGCTCTCTTGTCCTTCCGTCTGTCCGTCCGTCCGCCTGCCCGCCCCGACCTCCCGCCTCTGTGTTTCCGACGGGCCCGACGTCCCCTCCTGGGGTGTGGAGGTCAGGCGGAGGGGGGAGAGGAGGCAGCGGGTCCCCATCTGGCAGTGCTCCTCTGAGGCCCAGCCTTAGACGTTCGGAGGGGGGGTGCTAACTGTCCCCCAGGCCCCTCCCGACAGCTCCCCTCGAGACCCCCCGCCCCGGGCCCTGTGCATGCCCCACCCCGCCCCTCTGCATGGTCTCCTGGGAGGAGAGACGCCTCCCCCAGCCTGACTGTCCCCCACGCGTGTCACCGCCGCTCTGCGGGTGCCCACGCCGTCCCCGAAGATGAACCGATCTCCATTTCTTTTCTAAACAGTCGGCTTTTCCGTAAGGAGCCCTCCCTGTACAGAACAGAACCCTCCCGGCTTACTTGGGGTCCCTGCCCCCCCACCCCCCCGGCCCCATTTTTCTGTTGGTTTCGCACAAAATCCGCCCGCCCCACCCTGTCCCCTCCCCTCCCGGCACCTCGGAACCGTCCCCACCCCGCTCGCCCACCCCGTCGATGTCATTGTTTTATATCTATTTAATCTTATTCAATGGACACCGTGCTTTTGTTGTTTTATACTTTGCTAGGTAGACTTTATTACCCCCCCGACGAGGCCCTCGTTTTATAAAAAAGGAGAAAAAAAAAGAAACCCGGTTTCCGTCCCGAGCCCCTCCCCGTGCCCGTGCGTGCGTGTGCGTGTGCCCGTCCCGTCTCTCCACCCTCTCGTCGTCCTCATGGTTGGGTTCGGTTCGGTTCTCTGCCCTCGGAGCCGGAAGCCGAGACGACGCCCCCCCCCTCCCCGCCCCCGCCCCCGCCCCGCCGCTTCTCCCGATGGTGATAGTACTGTCACGTAGCCGTGTTCAGAGATGTGAAAAACTTTCAGGCAAAAATAAACTGTAAGTGACTCATCGACAGCTGGTCCGGATCGCTCTGTGGGGGCGGGGGGGGGGGGGGCGGGGGGCTCACGGCAGCGCCCGGGGCCCCTCCTCGACCTCGGTTTCCCGGCCTGGCCCCGCTGACATTCCCGCCCCCGGTACCGTCACCGCCACCCTAAACGGACCCCGCGGACGCCATGTGGAAGGGGGCAGCGTCCCCAGAACTGCCTGGATGTACCCGCCTTTGGGCCTTGAGCCAGCCCCCCCCCCCCATCCTCTGCCCCTCCCCAGGCCGCAGGGAGCCGGAGACAGCCCAGAGCCCCGGCCCAGCAGCCCCCGGAAGTGCCCGAGGGTCTTTCCACCGTGTCCCCTTGCAGAGAATGGGGTGCGGTGGCCACGGGTGGGGATGAGCAGTGACGGCCCACCTTCCCCGGCTCAGTGTGTGCCCGGCCCTGACTCAGCACCGCCCAGTACGGCCCTCGGCTCCTGGGCTGGGCGGGCTGGCAGCCATCGAGATCGGGAAGCAGAAAGGGCAGCAGAAAGGGTGTCCCCCGGCCTTGTCACCTCTCTTGCCCCTCAGCCGGCCTGGGAGGAAGCCCCTGTATGCCCCTGGGCTCTGCCACGGGTCCATGTGTCCTGTGCGCCCTGCAGTCTCGGTTCCTCGGGGCTGGGCAGCTCCCGGGGGGCCCTGCCAGGGCCCTGCTTCCTGGGGCACCTCCGAACTGGCTGCCTGAGGGTCTCGGTCGAACCATGACTCTGGAAGGCCGCTAAGAGGGACGCAGCTGACTGCGATTCAGTCCCCAGCACTGCGGGACTCCTGAGCACAGAGCCGGGAGCACCAGAAGAAAAGCTCTGAGCAGACGTGGCCCCAGGACAGACAGGAACTGGCGTGCTGCGGACAGAGGGGCAGGGGACGCCCTCCTGCACAGCACCATCCCACAGACGGGTCCTGCCCCACACCCCTTCTGGAGGGCACCCCACAGAAACCATCGGTGTGGCCGTGGTGTCTGCCCTGCCTGTGACCTCCTAGTGCCATTCCTGGGTGTGCTCCCAGGAGCACGGAATATGCCCCCTCCCGAGACCCCCGCTGCTCACGACAGCCCCTCCTGGCAGCAGCCCGGGAGCGGAACAAGCAGGGACGGGACGTGTGTGGACGGAACCCAGCTGGGCTTGGCTGTGTGGGTTGCAGGGAATAAAGCTCAAGACTGGTCACAGGGGCTGGAGCAACAGCACAGCGGGGAGGGCGTTTGCCTTGCACACAGCCGACCCGGGTTCGATTCCCAGCATCCCATATGGTCCCCTGAGCACCGCCAGGGGTGATTCCTGAGTGCAGAGCCAGGAGTAACCCCTGTGCATCGCTGGGTGTGACCAAAAAAAAAAGACCGGTCACAGACAGCGGGGGCTCGGCCCAAGGGCCAGGGCCGTGATGTGGGCACAGAGCTGGAGGGAAGCTTCTGGAAGAAGGAAAATGCGCCCACCTCCCTCCTGGGTGACGGCGGGTGTTTATGCACTTAGGGTTCCTCACGAGACACTTGCATCATCTCCCCTTCGGGGGCTGGGGGGTGCCAAGGGTTCTAACAGGGTCAGCAGCAGGGTGCTAGGCAGGAGCCCCCAGCCCCGTTTCCTTTCCCGGACCCCCCGTTATTGCATCATTTCTGTACACACTGCACACCAGTGTGTTCACAGTGGCAACCACACACAGGTCCAGGAGTGAGCGGAGAGAACTGAATGCAGACTGTGACGTGCCCCTCAGAAGGGCAGTCCTGGGAGTGTCCAGGCCTGGAGAAAGCCGGGCAGCCTCGGCCACCACACACCGGTCAGGCGATTGCACCCAAACGGGCCAAACGGGCACACATGTCATGACTGGAGAGGCAGAGCGGGAGGCCTGCACGCAGGATGAGGTTTAAGCGTTGGATCCATGAGAAACGTTGGGAATCGGAGGTGGGCAGGGGGCCCCTTGTGAATGTCCTAAACACCATGAAGTGATTTCTTTCGTGTTACATGAATTTTGTCTCGATTCAAAGCAGAGTGACATTTTAGGGGCTGGAGCGATAGATAGCCCAGCGGGTGGCGTGTTTGCCTTGCACGCCGCCGATCCAGGTATGATCCCCAGCATCCCATATGGTCCCCTGAGCACTGCCAGGAGTAATTCTTGAGTGCATGAGCCAGGAGTAACCCCTGTGCATCGCCAGGTGTGTCCCAAAAAGCTAAGTAAATAAAGCAAAGTGACGTTTTAAAACTTGGGTGGGCAGCAGGGACTGGGGAAGTCATCCAGGGGTGAGGTGCGTGCTTGCATGGGCCTCTGCCCGCCTGGATTCAATTCCCCGAGCCCCGCCGGGGTCCAGAGCCAGGAGCAAGTAAGCCCTAAGCACAGTCGGGTGTGGCCAAAAATAAAATTTTTTTAATGAAAAGATGCCTGCTTGCCTCTGCCTCCACGGGGAGCATGAATGACGCCGGCACCGCCTGGGTCGGAGCGTTTTTTTGGTGAATGGCTGGTAGATGCGTCCTCTGTGAGCTCTCTGCTGCCATCTGCCGGGCCACAGGGCCGCACACCTGGCGATGCCCACGACCGGACACAGCTGTGCAGAGTGGGACGAGGATACTGGACTCTGTCCACACAGCAGGACCGGGGCCTGCAGTGCTGGCCTGCTCCCAGGCTACCACTGGACAAAGCTGCTCTCAGCTGGCCTCTCTCCCTCTCCCTCTGGTCGTGGTCCCTGCATCAGGGTCCTCGGAACGGGCCCTCCAGAATTCTCTCCTGCGGACCCTCTAGTCCTGGCCCTGCAGGATCGGGAGACCCGCGCTGGCCGAGAGCGTCCACCCAGCGCCGGGCAAACAGACTCTGGTGTTTTTCCCACCTCCTAATTGAAGGGTAGAGGCGAGGACAAATCCGTTACCCCCACCCCTGTCCCCAGGCACGAGTAGCCTCTGGTTCGCCCAGCAGGAAAAGGGGCACGCGAGGCCCTGAGAAGTCTCAATGGGTGTGAGGGTGTCGGAGGCTTCCTGGGCTGCAGGAGACCCCCCGGAGCGGCTCGTCATCCCACCTCCACATCACCACAGGGGACTCGCAGAGACGCTTATGTTCTTATTATGTTCTTATTGGATCAGAAAGCTGCAGGGAAAGCCCTCGTGGGCCCCGCAGTGACCACCACGCGAGGCCTCCCGGAAACAAGGGAGCCACGCTGGGGACTGGACAGGGCTCCAGGAGGGGAAGGAAGAGGCGATTGTCATCCTGATGGTACCATTTCCCCCTTAGCCTAATGCAGTTTTCCTGGGTGTGTGTGTGTGTGTGTGTGTGTGTGTGTGTGTGTGTGTGTGTGTGTGTCCCACCCGAGACCACGCCCACCGGCAACCCTCAAAGGCCACGCCCTCGGGGCGGGGCGATGCTGCCTCGCGACATCACGTTGCCATGAGGACGCGTGGAGGAGGCGGGGTCACCT